TTCATTAGTAAAAACAGAGACTGGTGAAACGTTAGGAAGAACAACCTTCAGAACACGGCCAAAGAGCCCGAAAAACCCACAACAACCGGCCATGAAAGCCTTCGCGAATACGCTATTTTCTGTTTAACTTTTGTAAACAAAGGTACTTTTTAGGTACCGATTTTGTTTGCCTCCGTAGATGGAATGAGATTGAACTATTTTATTGGCCTAAGTGGTCCACAGTTTGATCTTATTCACATCCTGATGTGATACCCTTTCATCTCCATACGAATTAAAAAGAAAATAGGAATAACAGAAAGCCTGTAAAGAAACATCCCAGTAAGCAATGGACCATGGGACACATGAGCAAATGTGCAAAATTCTTGCTTCCATAAGACCTGTGCAAAGAACAAAGTGATAAGTACAGCCCCTAACAATTTGTCATATGCATGTGTGCTTATTGCTTTTGTCCATGCATGCTGCATGCATTAAAGGCGGAACTACAGGGCAGCTTGAACAAAACAAGAATGACATTCAGGTCCAACCCAACAGCTCTCTTATACCAGAAAAAAGAGCTACTTGGGAAAATAGTTGTACATGGAAAGTAGATAGTAATTGTTTGAAGGGATGAAATGTAGAACTGTTCAGAATTATGCGCCAAGACATGTTGCATGGAAATATAGCAGGTGCAATGCACTCCACATGTAATGCCACGGGGAAAATGCTTTATCTTACACAATGGACAAAAAAGCCAAACACTACTGTTTACAACTCTTTAATCCCTGGCCTGTTGATAGAGCCAGTGAAAATGTTGTATACATCTACCTATCTTTTTCTTTCCCTATGAAAGCTCCTTCAGAAGGTCTCCTTCCAGAAGGGATGGACTGGAACCTCTACTGTAGAGCAAACCATACTGGCAAGATTGTCTACATTACACTTAGCCTGGCTGCTCTAAGCTTTAGGGTATGCCTTATTCAACAGCTAGTCTATTTTGTATGTGTTAATGCTCCTTGTTGGATGGCAGTGACCTAAGGGTTCTGCTTACACCCTCTTACATGGGACACTGAGTCTAAGCCCACACACGTGTCTCACATAAGAGAGCACTATACTCTGAAAGTGAAATCAAACTCTCAGTAATACATATATTACAGTAAAAATGGACACAGTATTAAGTGTTAGTATCACAGTTACCACACAGTCCGTTACCAGATGTGTAACGAATCACAGATGTGACGAGGCACAAATCAAGACAGTGCTTGTTTTAAAGTGCTAGATTCTGTTAAAATACATTCGCTGTTTCTCTACTCCACCTTTGCTCGAAAAATCATATAAAGTGCTTTCAATAACAACAAAATGTAATGATACCAGATTTGATATAACAGTATAAGTTATAAATTCAAGCTGCTGCTGCTTATGGTTTTGTTTAAAACGGTCAAGTTAAAAAGAAATGGTTGAAACTTATCAAGGTCTTGGCCTTGATTCTTTTCCCATTTATATGCCTTTGACACCTTTGACACTCCGGCGGAGTCTCCCTAGGTTTATATCTATCCCAACAACAGGAGGATCAGGCTCCCTGTTTAGCAAAAATCTTCCTTCCTTATTTTTTGCATATTTCTATATTTAAAACTTGCATATCTCATCATTCTACACCAGTTAAGTGCAAAATATGCTAGAAAGAGTCCTCTAGCTTGATGAACAGATTTGATATAAGCCCTGAAAAGATGTGCAGATAATTCAGGGAGCAAACACGCCTTTTCATACTATTCTTCAGTGCTAGAGTTGCTGGCATTTCCATTATGGGCTACCAATGGCTGCACTTTCCATTTATTCACACAATCATTGGTTTTCGGGTAGTACCCAACTAAGAATATCTTCTCCCACCACACAAATGGATGAAATCCAACTCATTTATTTACTTTCAAGAATACTAACTTTGCCTTGCTAACATGAACATCAGAATGCCTTGTTTATCCACCCCATTGTCTTTTGCTTTGAAAATTCCTTTTCCTAGTTCCAGATTAAAAACTGATCTCCTGAGCTCATATTTTGTGTGCCTTTTAGCAGAGTCAAATGTGCAATTTTTCAATCACATTTTGAAGGGGGGTGGTTGGTTGGATTTAGTGTATACAAGTGGTGCAACTCACCCTGATGATATTCTAAGAATAAAACTCCAGACCCTAAGTGAAGCTTGAAATATTAAGCACACACAGATAATTTAACAAGTTTATTTCTTGAGTCACTGAATTTGCAATGTAACCATAAACCTACCATGCCCGCCCTGTTACCTTTAGACCTTGCCTCCATCAGAGAAAAAGGCATATACTCTATGGGGATGTTTGGAAGAATTGCCCCTAAGCAAAACCAGCTGCATTTTCGATTACTACATCACATCTACGAGTTTGTATTTGACTGTGACTCCTTCGGCCTCCTTTAAGTGGGTAATGCTAATCACATACTGGCATTGCCATAAATGAGTCTGCCAAAAAGGGAGAGTGAACGGAGTATTTGGTCACGCTGCTTTTGATAAAGGAAGGTGAAAAGAGATCAAATTAGAACCAAGATGCACAATCTTCATTTCACTTGATGGCTGTAGCTAGTCTGGGGGCAACAATGCTGTAATGGATCAAGAGGAGATCTGATCCCAAAACCCACCTTGAGAGCATCCTCTTGTCTTTGCGAAACAGGTGGGTGATTTTGGTCAAAAGTTCATGCCATGCAGAAGCTCTTCTTTGTGTGTTGAGCATAAAGGCATTCCTTTTCAGCTGTCAACAATAGTCCCAGGGCACGCATCAGATATTTTGATCCTGTGTGTTACCATGTCCTCCTCCACCTGGCAATATGTGAATCTTGGGTGAAATGTGATTATCTAGTTTGATAGCCTCCTGTTTACCATGGGTTCTTCCAGTGATATTTTCCATGGAATAAAGGCAGTTTTGCCCTACAAGCTTGGGGGAAGAGGGCAAAGCAGTAGTCTCTAAGTGATTCTTCTCTGTTCTATACACATTGTCCCTCTGCCTTAAGTAGCCACTGTGTGAAATACTGTATTTGGGGCTTGTAGTTCCTGGTCGGGCTTTGGGAGGACTTGAGTCATACAGCAACTGACCTTCATCATCAGTGTCGGCGTCAATATATTTATGTATCCCAGCATCGTGGAAGTTGAAAACTACTGCTGTCTGCTTCTCAGGTGATTTTGTGGGAGTTCTAGCACTTGCAGTAGTATAGACAGAAGTTTCTGGACTCATTAAAGACCGGTCAGAGTGTCCAGAACTATCTGTAGCAGCACCAGTTGCTCCTCGGTTCTTGAGAGAATCTGGATATATTCTTAGGACACTTGATGCTGTTGATCCTGTGGCATCCTCTTCCATAAAATTAACCTTCAAAGATCTTAATTTGAGAGGATTGGTGACTTTTATGGAGCTTCTGGGGCTTTCTATGAAAAAAGTAGAACAATGTCCACTTTCTCGATGTGGTTTTATCTCCATGAATTTGGCTCCACTTCCATCCGGCCTACATGGATCTTGAAGTGGATTTTTCCCACCTTTGCTAGGCAATGCAGTTAATGGGCTATGAGAATACCTCCCAGAGTCAGGAAAATCTGTAGCACAGCTGATATAGCTGTCAATGCTTGACATGCTCCTCATATCAACTATTCCATCTGCCCGAGTGGTTAGCAAAGGGACCATAGGCCCAGGCATGGCCTCCATTTCTAGTTCCTCCTTTTGCTTGGTGGGTTGACTTGGCTCCTTCAAATTGAGGTTGGGCTGTGACTGTGCTTTTGCCATTTTGTTGTACACGTCTTCCAACTGTTGAACATTCAGGTGCTGAGGACTGGAAGAAGAGCGAGCCTTTTCTGGTGACCCTTGCTCTTTTGTCTCTAATGATTTGTTAGAGCTAGTTTCAGAAAGCGATCTCTTGGCCCATTTCCACTTGCTCGGGGATAAATGATTGTCTTGAACCTTATCCTTTTTGCCTGCATTTTCTCCCTTCTTTTCAACAACAATGTCCATTAGTTCTACACTACGGGCAAAAGCATCCTTCATATTCATAGACACAATGCTTCCATTTCTTTTTGCTCTTTCAAGTGCTTCTCTGCGTTTAATAGCTTTTTCCTGCCTCTTCTGTTCTTTGTAGAACTCGGAAAAGTTATTTACAATGATTGGGATAGGAAGGGCAATCACTAAGACCCCTGCAATACAGCACAAACCACCAACAATCTTACCTAAGAGTGTTTTAGGATAGATATCTCCGTAGCCCACCGTTGTCATAGTTATGGTTGCCCACCAAAAGGACGCTGGGATGCTCTTGAATTTTGTATCTTCCTCATCTTTTTCTGCAAAAAACACTAAGCTTGAAAAGATCATGATGCCCATGGCCAAAAACAAAATGAGCAATCCAAGCTCATTGTAGCTTCTCCTCAAGGTAAATCCCAGGGATTGCAAACCAGTGGAGTGCCTGGCTAGCTTCAGAATTCGTAGTATCCTCATGATACGAAATATTTGAACCACCCTGCGCACATTCTGGAATTGAAGCACACTTTTGTTTGATTCTGTGAGGAAGATGGTGACGTAATAGGGCAAGATGGCTAGTAAATCAATAGCATTCAGTGGACCTTTGAAAAACTTCCACTTCTTAGGAGAAGAGAGGAAGCGTAAGAGATATTCCATTGTAAACCATGCAATGCACACTGCCTCCACATGGGCTAGCTGGGGATTATCTGTGGGATGATCATATTCATCCGTGCCTTGGAGTTCAGGAAGAGTGTTGAGTGACAAGGCAATCGTAGAGAGGACGATGAACATGATGGAAATGATTGCCAGAATCTGCAAAGAGAACAGAAAGTGGTTAGTGTCACAGAGTAGAATACATATGTAGCATCAAGTCATGACGTTTGCTCTGACAAGATGTTCATTAGTAAAAACATAAAGCAATAAACATGTAATCAAGAATGAAATATTAATTTTACACTGTAACCCATTCTAAGTAATGTCTTTGAATGCTTTCAAGCACATCATCTGTACACTAAGGGGTAAAGAATACTTTCTTTCTTAGCAATGGGCTGAGATGGCTAGAGAACTGCAATATATTCTCTGAACAGAGAGGCATCTCACGTTGAAATTCTGTTGTAAAGCATTCCACATACTGAAACCACAAGTTGATACTATTATTATTTTGTTTCATATTTTTCTACTTGTAGAAAACAATACATATTTATTTAGAAGTATATTTATATTCTGCTCTTCCACAGCAGTCCCATTTCTTAAAGCACCTTGCAGCTGTTAAAAATACTGCAGTTATACTTTTTTTCACACCAGGTAAAGAAAGGATCACAGTAACATAATAAAGCAACTGCACAAAATAATACAGAAATACTGAAAGCCATAAACAAAGATCCATGACATCAAATTATCATCTAACCTAACAGGACAAACAGGGAAATGTTCACCAACAATGAAAAAGAGTAATTGAATAGACCAAATGAACCTCCATAGCCTCTGCTCAGTCACCACAAAGACCATTTTCGCTTGTTTTAACCAACCATGCACACATCATCATATCTTAGGATATGGGCATGCTGATATGGGAGGAGACAGACTTATAGGAATACAGACCGCAAATCATTTTGAACTTTAAAGGCAACTATTGAGCCCCAATCAATAGCTACCAACAACTGAGAAACAAAAAGAGAAAGCTGTAAGGGGTTCCCTGCTTTTTGTTTCTCAACATGTCTTTCTGCCATGACACCGGTTTTATAGCACTGACATGGTGTTCACCCCACAACTCTGTGTTGTCGAGCTATTCTCACGAGATTTGTGACACAATGTTCAGAGTTTCTTCCTATTACATGTTGGATCGATGGCGGGCTCTTACAATTCACCTGCCCAAGTGGAGAATAGATTTTGTACTTCAACACTATATACTTCATTGGGCCAGTGCCAAAAGGTACTGGCTGTTAACGATATTGCCATCTTGGAATGTAACTCAATATATACAGGCAGGGTTCCAGGAAGTCAGAACGACAGCTGGTTCCAGAAGAGCTTTTTCCCACATTAGACTGTTCCCACCAATGTGGGTGAAGCTGTTCCCAACTGAATTTTTGAGACTCCCAGTAATTTATTAGCATTAAGTAACTTAAGGACAATCAGTATAAAATGTTGTAGGAATCAGACACACCACATGCATACGTATCCCAAGTATTTGTCTGCACAAAGCATGTGTAGTTTTCCTGTGCTTGAGCATGAAATCTGCCAGGTGCAATGAAACAGAAATACTGTAATTGTATGGTAACTAAAGGAATCAAAAATAGCACTAACTTTAGATGGAGGGTGTGAGTCAACATAAAATTAGATTCATGGGTATACCTTCTGATTCTATTCTAAAGTTTGGAAAGCAACAGGCCAATACAGCACTTGTCCAGAGACTTCATTATATTGAGAAACAAGAACTGCTCTCTTTGGAAAACAAAACCTTTCCCCCCTCTGACAAGTAGTATCCTCCCATCAGACAGGTTACTCTAGGGTTATTGTGCCATATATTCTGCATAAAAACAGTAAACAGGAGTCAACAAGCAAAATCAAAACATAGGTGTGCTCTCCCCCCTCCCCCCCAAAAAATTATAACTATGAAACTGGACCTCAGATCAGCACCAGATTTGCTCTGTACCAAAGGGTTTTCAAGCTGTGATTTTTAAAAAAAGTTACAGTGTTTTATCCATGCAGAACCAAGTGACCATTTGGTCAGCTAAAAGAGATGGCAGTAGATAAGATAAAATTTGCACAGCAGGGGAGAAAAATCTCAGTTTTAAACTCTTTTTCTTTACCCACAGGAATTGAGGCAATTATGGGTCTAATTCAGACCTTTAAATTACAGTATTGCTTTTTAATCCCTAAAACTTCTGAAATCAAAGCCTTTTTAAATAACTCAGCTCATATTTTTCCTGGTTTACTTCTGAGTAAGTTTACCTGGTTTACTCATATGTTTATGGATCTACATGATTTCATATGCTTTTTACACGCTACTGTCCCTAACCAATGTTTATGTATCAGAAGCATGGATCTTCATAGATCCACATGATTTTTACACAGGGTGACCTTCGTACCACTCTCCAAACATAGGCCTATCTGTGCCCACAGACTATACCACAGAAATCATTGATTCCCCCAGTGCATGGTTTTGCAGTGGTGCAAACTATGACTCTGATGTACAGATCCTCATGGATTCACATGATTTTTAACTAGGATGATCCCCAAACCACTGTCCAGCTATAGGCCCCATTTCTGCTCATAGCAATGACTCCAGACACATTCTGATTGGTCAGAATGCTATGATATACAATTAGTTCAGTCATCTAGAATGTTCACATTTCAATTATATGTCCACGGTACAATCGACTCATGTTATTCATTTTGCTTGAGTGGGAGTTCAGGCTTGACTTCATTAGTAGACATGGTCTACAAGGGTGGGGTAAAAATCTAATAAATAAATAAAATAAATTAGCACCCACTTTTCTGCTTTTCTGGCTGTCTTTAGTATCTCTACCAATTCCACATTTCAAATAACTTGATTTCTGTCCCTGTCTTTCTTCACTGTCTTCCTTTCACATGCTATGCATGATTTTGACCTTGCTTTCCAGTGACTTTTTTTTGCTAACTCCAACCTCATCCTTCCTGCCCCCCCCGAAAAAGGAAAATGACTTATTTTGGCCCCTGTACAGTTGCCATTGTCTGATAATGGCTCTCCAAGATTTCAGGCAAATCCTCCTTGGAGATTCTGGATTTGTTGCCAGGTTCTCCTGGGTGGACAATATGAGCCCTGAGATTTTGTTTAAAGCTCATTTGCTGCTGTTTCTAATCATTAGTTAATCATTTCAGTTTCATTCTTCTCTCCTAAGTACACTTACATTAATTACTGTAGGAATCACTGTAAATAAAGCTTTTGAATGATCAACAGCTTTCAAGAATTGGGCTCTTTAAAAACACGCTATTTTCTCTTTAACGTTTGTAAACAAAGGTACCGATTTTGTGTGCCTCCTTAGATGGAATGAGACTGAACTATTTTATTGGCCTAAGTGTGCCCACAGTTTGATCTTATTCACATCTTGATGTGATACACTTTCATCTCCATACGAATGAAAAAGAAAACAGGAATAGTAGAAAGGAGTAGTAGAAAGCCTGTAAAGAAACATCCCAATAAGCAATGGATCATGGGATATGTGAGCAAATGTGCAAAATTCTTGGTTCCATATGACTTGTGCGAACTTAACGAAGTGATAAGTACAACTCCTAACAATTTGTTATATGCATGGGGCCATCTCAGTATAAGGCAATGGGGGGGGACCACACCCTGGGGCCTGAGAGAAGGGCCTCTTGGAAGATCTTAAAAAATGGAGTTGGGTGTCATCAGCACACTGATGTGCAAAGAATGGCGAGTGGGCCAGCCGGCCTGGGGTGAGGTGGGGGGAGTCGGCTTCCTACGAAGCACTTTGTTGTGCATTGTGCCCATCTCTACTGATGATGATGGGATCCCAAGGCTGTTGGGTGGGACACAGGACAACCTTTTACCACCAGAGGCTTTCTGAGCAATTTTTAAGGGATGGTGGTAAGGGTCTAGGAGACAACTATATCCCTGAGAGCTTTATGCAGCCCATGCATGGGTCACACTTTGCCTATTTCTGAAGTAAATAGACAACAAGGTATATTAAGAAATGGATTCTCTCTCCATAAAGAGAACCCAGATTATAATTTTTAATGACATAATGCTAAATGGTACAATAACATAACAGTGTGTTACCCAAATATTTTTTAAAAGGTACTTTTTTAGAAAATCTGAAAGACTGGGAATGGTTGTTTGAAACATTTCTCTTGCTGAATTGCTTAAATGCAATTTTAATGTCGCAGTGACAAAACAGAACCGATCTGCGACGTTGGTACCCTGTGGTTTTAATCTGGGTTAAATGAGATTGGCATCCATGGGAAAAGGAGCGAGGAATGGAGACAAATGCCTACCTCTAAGCATGTAACAGACACATTGGTATCATCCTGAACCTGCCCATTTTGTTTTCCTTCTGTCCAGGAAGGAGCATCTGGAGGTGACATATACAGTTGAAGCAGGCAGGCTGACATTTTCTTGTGCCTTCTGAATTTCAGTGCCTTGAGTCACAGCCCCAGTCACCCTGCCCTTGTTATGCTCTTAGTTCTGACCCTGAGTACAGTCAAAAGACACAGGGAAAATATACACCTTCTTTTGCTGCCAGTAAAAGCAAAAGGTGAAACCAAAATCCCTGTTTAGACCCAGCTGTATCCATATTTGCCCTTTTATCTCATCTGAGTCACAATCTCCACAGGTAAAAAACACAAGATGCTGAAGGCCGTGCACTATTCCGCAGCAGTGAAGACAATTCAAGTCAAGGTGCTCTATGCTTTTAGCATCTCGACACAAAAATATAACACTTCTATAAAAGTTTGCTATACCCAGCTGTTTTGATTGCTCATTTTATTTTTCTTTCTTTTCTTACAGAACATTGTGTACATTTTTGTGCTTGGTGGCTTTTGGATGGCTTAGTCAAATCAGCAATGCGCCAAGAGAGATTGAAATAAACTAAAAGTAATTAAGCAAAAACTATTAGCTTGATTGCAGAAGAAGCCTTCCTTTACTGAATATGTATCGAAATAATTGATTTTCCCTGAAGAAAGGTGGAGGAAAAATCATAACATCATTACTATATCCTATATTGTGCATTTTTTTCCTCCTTCAAAACTGGAGGAAAACAGCAGTGTTATGAAACACTTCAACCCGAAGTTATAATTATATGTGCTGGGAGGCG